TCTCTGAGGTATTACTGTGTCTGTCTTCTATTGTTTCTGTAAGGACTACAGGCATTTTGTTTCACTGGTGTCTGTGCAAGATTAGCCTCAGCTGAATCTATCCTTGGTCTAGAGTATACTTCTGTTCACTGACCCCTGTCTGATCATCTCAGGTGTTTATGTGTTTATCTGTATAGCCTAGTGTTTGATGTCGATGGTAATGCAGTATTGTGGGCACACTGGTTGGTATTAGCATCTGTTGTCTATCTCCTATGCACACAATTCAGTGTCCTCCCTTTTCCTAATGTTATCATGGTGGTCACAGACTCTTTCCATACATCCCTCCCCTTACCCACGTCAGTGTGTAGGCCCCAACTAGCCCAATATTAATTCCTCCCCTTCCCTTCCCATCCTGGTAACTTAACAAAGTGAGTTTCCTTTCTTAAGCGAACTCTTTGTCTTTTTACAGTAATGGGCTCATACAGTATTTGTCCTTCTGTGACTGACTTATTTCACTCAGCATAATGTCCTCCAGGCTCATCCACGTTGTAAGATGATTCATGTATCCTTCATTGTCCTTTAATGTAGCGTAGTATTCCATTGTGTGCATGTACCATAATTTGGTTATCCATTCATCTGTTGATGGGCATTTAGGTTGTTTCCATCTCTTTGCTATGGTGAATTGTGCTATGATGAACATAGGTGTACATATGTCTGTTTGTGCGCTGTCTCTCACCTCTTTAGAATATATTCCTAATAATGGAATTGCTGGGTCAAATGGTATTTCTATTTTCAAGTTTTTAAGGAAACACCATACCATATGCCACAATGGTTGTACCATTTTACAATCCCACCAGCAGTGCAGAAGAGTTCCTATCTCTCTGCAACCTTGCCAGCATTTGTTATTTTCTGTCCTGTTGAACTTTGCTATTATTGCTGGGGTGAGATGATACTTCATCGTTTTGATTTGCATCTCTCTAATTACTAATGATCATAAGCAATTTCTCATGTGTTTGTTGGCTGCCAGTATATCATCTTTGGTGAAGTGTCTGTTCAAGTCTTTTGTCCATTTATGGATTGGGTTGTTTGTCTTTTTGGTGTTCAGGTGCTGAAGTTTTGTGTAGATTTTGGACATAAATCCTTTATCAGATGTGTCATAGGCAAATATTTTCTCTCAATCTGTAGGTTCTCTTTTACCCTTTTGATGAAGTCTTTTGATGTGCATAAGAATTTTTAAAAGGTCACAGTCATCTACCTTCTCTTCTACCTCCTGTGCATTCTGGGTTATGTTTGATAAGTCTATTTATGCCATAAATTAAGGCTCCTAGATTTGCCCCTATTTTATCTGTGATGAGTCTTATAGTTTTGGGTTTTACGTTTAAGTCTTTGATCCATCTTGAGTTTGTTTTTGTGTGTGGCCTGAGGTATTGGTCTTGTTTCATTTTTCTGCAAGTAGATATCCAGTTTTGCCAGCACCATTTGTTAAAGAAGCTATCTCTATCCCCATTTAATGGGTTTTGGACCTTTGTCAA